TGGAGTGGGGATAGTCAGTGTATGGGAAGGAGAAGTGTTGTGAGTGCTGAGAAAGTCAAGTATGTGTCTCTGTGTCCATCACATCTCTTAATAATGCTGGGCCACATTGTCCCTATGCTGCCACCTATTCATGGGAACTAATTTTTCATTGGCTATTTGTTTTCACTATCAGCTGTAAATAAATTACACAACCAATAGACAACAGCACCATGTAATCAAATAATGATCAGTCCCCCAGGTAAAATTATCATTGTATGAAATTATCCTGCCATTACTTTTTAATAGGCTGCCTAATTAAGGCAATATATCTTCATATATTGAATCCTTGTTGACTCAAAAAATAATTGATACATTGAATCCTTGTTGAGTCACAAAAATAATATCTCTGTAATAAAAATGTAGAGGTTGCTAAGGTTTGTTTTGAGGCTGTTGAAGCTATTTCTGACAGCTCCCAAATGAGCTCTAATATATTGTATAGCCATTACTAAATTGGCATCATATACCTTGAGATTCCTATCTGCTAATAATTTCTACATGCTTGCCTTTTTACAACAGTGGTTCTTAATAGATAATGAAAGTTAGAATGAGGTAATAGAACATATTGCAAGGCCTAGAGAAACCTAAACTTCTCTCAACAAAATCAACAGCAGTTGTGAGAGCAAGTAATGGAAAACAACAGGACATGGGGATCTGACCGATAAATCACTTTTAGCAGCTAGAAAGTTTCAGATGGATATTACTTTTTTCAATAAACCAAGTTTTATATAGACTTAGCTAAAAGTCAGAAGTGTTTATGACATGTTATGACAGCACTTTTATGCCAAAGACTCCCTTCTAATGAAACAATTTGAAAAAATGGTTTCCAGTACAAAAAAAACCCTTTGGATTGTTGTCACAGAATTGTGTACCGTAGCTGACTGAGCATCTTCTGTACACGTGTACATTACTTACCATTCCAGTGGTGCTTCTGAAGAAAAGTCACAAATTCTATCCAATCATGAGAGGGAAACACAAAACATTTATATTCTGTACCAAAAACATCAGTAATGACAACTATGAAATAAAATTGATCCAAAAAACATGAGAATTGTGAAGTTAAGAAAGCTAATTACTTTAGCACATATCTATAATTAGGTAGGCAAAAGTCTTGTGCCATTATTGATCCATGCTCTTCCAATTTATTTCTTGTGTGTAATTTCCCTGCACTCCAGTAAGTAATACAATACAGCAAGCACCTGAAATGGGTGAGTTTTCCCCTTTCCAGAGAGTATATTCTCCAGGTGAATTGATCCCTGAAGGGAAGTTAGACCAAAACCTGCCTCAGCATGTTCTAGAAATGAATATGTAGATGCAGAATTTAACTTTGGAAACAACATAGCAAAGCAAACAAACAATGAAACCAACCAAAAAAAAAAAAAAAGAAAAGAAAAGGAAATTTAGATTACCCTTGGGAACATAGTCCAATTTAGAAAATCACTGTTCATACTCTGAATTGGGCATCATTCATAGCATACCATAAAATTGGTTTCCTTGGTCAGATTTTGCAGGTGACATCCCATGCTATTAACCAAAGAAGTCCTTGCAAGAAAGTGAAATACTACAAATTGCAACAAATAGATATCTCCTGCAGCTTTACACAATTTTCAAGTCAGTGTAGGTCTGGTGGAAGGTGAGTTCAGATGTGTTTAACCTATCATAGGGTAAATAGAAACAGCAGGAGGAGTGTAAAAGTTGTTCCTTATATTAGATAAGCATAGCAACAGCACAAATAGGGATCTGGACTGCAGCAACAGCCCTGCAAGAGCTATTTGAAACCTATATGGCATCCAGGCAGTGAGATTAAAACTGTAATCAGTCACAAAGGAGATGAAGGAAAAGAGAGTAGATATTTTCCTCAGTGTATTTTTCTTGGTGGTTCTTGTTTAGTGACAGGATTTTAAGGCTACTCTGTGAATTTTCCTTTTCTAATTACTGAAGGCTACCAAAAAGCAATGGAAAGAATTTTTCCCTTGGCCTAAAAAAATTAATTACTTATTTTTAAGGTCTCTGTCCTGAATGAAAATTGAGCAGTGATCCTTTGAAGGCCATGACTTAATTCTTTTAGAACTCTTTAACTTTGAAATAGATTTAAAGTGAAAATAATTTAATCCAGTGATTAATTAATTTAAAATAAAAAAAACCAAACAACAAAACAAAAACCAAAGACATCAGGACTATACTTAAAATCATCTGGCCAAATACATATGCTTAATAATCAGCATTATTTGTTCAGGAATTCAGTTCTGATTGGGATTTCAGGTGTCTGCTAGTGGACAGCACTAATGCACCTGAAACTAGTAGCTGATATGCAAGATTTAAAAAGCCAGGAATGGAGTACTGAAAATATATTTATTTTACGTATGAGTTTTTCATATTTATCAATATTACTGCTATAGTCTGCAGTTTGTAGGAAAGGAAAAGTAGGAGTGAAAGGAAAAGTAGGAGTGCAGCCTTTGAAAGAAATGTTTTTACTGTGGATCCACCAATTGTGGTGGGGAGGAGGGATGGGGAAGGGTGGGATGACCTGTAACTGAAAAACACATCCTCTTCTGGTGGTTATTGAAGATATTGTGTGAGGAATTAACTTAGGATAGGTAAGGATAATTATTATGAACACATTTGTTTAGAAGTAACAAAAAGTATCAAAAGTTTAGAAGTAACAAAATCCATTATTTAATACACACATGAAAAAAATTGGGTGTATTTAGGAAACATTACCTACATGCCTTATGAGGCATGCAGGAGGGAGGGTTTACCTAAAAGATCATCTCAATCTAAGTGACTGTCTATTTCCTGAGAGGTGTCTGCTTATTTTCTATATTCAAGGTGTAGATAAGCATCTTTACATTCTGGTGGTGGCTCTAGGTGGTACAAGGTGCATCAACATCACTGAGAGCCATACATTATTTCTGGTTTCCCATTCCCAACGTGTTCATTGTGGCTTGCTTGAAGAATTGTCTCTTTTGTTCCTTAAATTTTCTAATGCTTATTATGAGGGAAAATAGCAAAATGATATCTACTTCTATTTCATAAAAATCAATATTTTCTTTACACAGTTCAAGTATTCAAGATAGACTTGATAGATAAGATTTAGATAGACTACAAGGGAAGCTGAATTTCTGCCCTTGCTGTCTGTGGTCTGTACAGTACCAGTGACATGAACATCATGAAACTCACTGGACCATTGGGCTAATGGGAATTGTGTCTTTTTTTTACCATTTGTGAACTTGTTCTCTGGGGAGCTGAGAGTTAAAAAAAAAATAAAAAATAAAAAAGATGAAAAAAGCAGACTGTCAGTGTTCATCTTGTGTAAACTTCTTTATTCCTGTTCTCTGGGCCTGACTGTCAACACATGGCAGTTGTCAAGGAAAGGAACATTTTATTTTGTCAAGCTTATATCTTGGACACTTCAAATGAAAGCTGGAGCCACTGGATTGTGTAAGAAGCATCTGAAGCCCATTCAGCTGATGAACTGGTTAGACATTTTCCAGAGAGTAAGTTTGTGTCTGAAAACACTGATGGTAATTTCTGCAAGTTTTACACAAAAGCAGGTCGCAGGGCCACCAGCAAAGTCTGAGGCTCTTGTCTCACACGTGGTAAAGAACACCCAAGTGCAGAATATTACATGTCTTAAAGCAGGAAAGTGCTGGAATACAGAGGACTTGGTTTGTGTCCAGATGGAAATACCATCATTCCTTTTCCTCTGCTGAGGTAATTTCTTATTGTATTGCTAACTATTCACAGGATCAGGGACAAAACAATTTTGGAATCTGATTATTTGTGGAAGGAAGAAAAAATAGATACAATACAGAAACTATGCTGAGGTTGGGTTAAGAAGATATAAGTGTTAATGATGGCCAATTTAATATGTAAAGGCAATTGAGACCTTTTGAATGATGTAATTATTTCTGTAAAAATACTTAAAAATTAAATTTTTGGCTATTGCATAACATAGCTCTGGTAGTTTCATTAACATATTTTTAACCTGTTAGCCTATAAACCAGGAAGTCACTTTAAATTCACTGACCTATTATTTCCATTATTTCCATATTTTTAGTTCTATCCCTAGGAGCTGATACTCATGATAATAGTGAATGTACAAGAAAAAAATATTTTCAATTTTTTCATTTGTATTTTTTTAAATGTTACATTTTGATTTCTAAATTATTAAATCAACTCTTTAGCACCAGAATAAGTGGTGCTTAAAGGTTAGTTTTCTTAAACCATCGTGATTTGTTGAGCTGTAACTTAGGTCTTACTGTCAGTTCTTTGAATTTTCCACATAAAAGTAACTCAATGCCTGCTAAAGGAAAATAGAGCATAATTCATCAGAAGGAAGTGGCCCCTGGGAAAATATTATTCATATTTCACCATTTGTCCTACTATTACTCGTCTCATTAAAGGTGAAGAAAATAAATCTCATCTTTCCATTTTCCTATCATAATACTCAGAAATGAGGCATGCAGTATTCTGTTTTGTCTCAGAAAAGTAATTTCATTTTAAAGTTGTTTTTTAATTCTGTATTTGAAAATATTTTTTGAGTAAGGAATCATTTCAGGTGAAAAATTACAATAAAAATAATATTCCTTTTTTAAATCACAGAATTTTGTTGAAATTTCAGCTTGCATTCTACTTGCTAGATTCCTGAAGTACTGTAAAATTAAATCATTTGCTTGAGGAGCTGTATAAACTAAAATTAAAATTACAGTTCATAATAGACAGAAATAAAACAGATTTTCAGTAGAGATACAAAAGCTCAGGTGACATTATTTCAGTCCTGCTGTAGGACCTAATCTAACCACTAAGGAACATAGATAGAGAGGTTTACATCCTCACATTTGGTTTGTGTATGCAAGGAAGAGCCAAGATGCTTCACTGTCAAGTGAAGGTATTTAAGTGGAGTAAATTTCAAGAAAAGCTTTGCTGTGTGAGAAAGAAAACTGCTCTTTCTTTTATTTCAGGCCAGCTCCTTAAAGACTCAGATGTCAGCAACACATCAAAGTGGCAGAGTCCCACCAGACTCAGTGACCAAGACGAAGAGGTTTAGCTCCCAGAGGCAAGGGGGCACTGAGCCTGCTCCTCCATCCCTCTGTGCTCCTCCAGAGACAGACAGGTTTGGCTGCTCCTCCATCTTTGCTCTTTTTATTTTCTACTTGTCTTCTGTTTATACTGCAAGGTTAAATGCTAAAACTGAAAAAAATATAATAAAACAAAATTTGTGAGTAGTTTGCAATTCTGAATCAGAAAATCACTGTGTGAGAAGAAATAAAGCTGGAGTCCTTTGAGAGGCATCTATTAAATAATAGGTTTATTTTACTATCTTTGATAATTATAGAGGGGGATTTTCAGTAGACATTCTTCTGATCACCAAAAGCACAAAATACAAACAAAATCTAGTACTGTAGTTAAGAAATTCAATGGAAAGAGTCTAATAAGGGAAAAAAAAGACTGGAGAAAAAAATGCAAGGCTAGCCATTAAAAGGGGTGCTTTTAAAAATCCATTGTATGTATGCATATATATATATCTAAACCTGGAAAAGGAAGTTGATATATGTATAATTATGGACTTTCTTAAGTCATCATCAGGAAAATAAGGTCTGAATGTCTCAAGTTCTGGTAACTCGCACTTCAAGCCAAAGAGTTGTCAGAAGAATTATTTAACTCACTGGTAATTTTTAATTACCTTAAAGCAGTTCCAAAGATTGTAAATCCCCTAAAGTTAAAGCAGAGTTTATAAATGCCAGTGGGGTGATTTCAGAGTTACCACAGGCTATAACTGCTTTTTCATCAATCCACAGAGAGATTATAGGAAAATCGACAGGACTTATTATTTTATATATGACTGCTTAACAAACATTTTAATAATGCTCATAAACAGAATTTTAAAGAGAGAGATATTATCAAAGAAAACTTCTTTCATTCTTTGATGAGATGCAATTTTTTTCCATAACAGTGGCTAATAAACATAGTTGAGAGTTGGCAGAAGATTTTGTATACCACTTGTGTGACATTCTGTTTAAAACAGTACACTACACAATCAAAGTAAGGCATAAATGAATGAATAACTGGTAGAGAGAAATGGTCAGTAGTACATGGCTTTATATGAAGGCTTCCTTGTAGGTACTTCTGGGACTGACTTTGTCCTATGAATTGAATTCAACATCTTTATTAATGAAATTGAGTCAAACAAAAAATCAAAGTCAATAAAGTACACAGGTAAGAAGGAAGGCTTAGGGGATAAATGAGAAAGAGAAAATGACAACCATATTATATGATCCAGTTACTTTCTTGATGGTTGACAAGTCATTTCTGCAAAATACAATTTAAAAATAACGATTAATATGAAAAGAAATAACATAAGCCTTCCTGTCTTTTAAACTTGTTGGAGTGAAGGTCCACAAAGGTGATCAGAGGGTTGGAGCACCTCCCTTATGAGGATGGGCTCAGAGAATTGGGGTTGTTCAGCCTGGAAAAGAGGAGACTCCAGGGACACCTTAGAACATCTTCCAGTAGATAAGGAGAACTAACAAGAGCTGAAGAGAAATGGTTTCCAAGGCATGTAGTGATAGGAGAATGGCTTTAAACTGAAAGAGAGTAGATTCAGGTTGGATATTAGGAGGAAAGTATGGTAAGGTTGGTAAGGCACTGGAGCCTTTCAACCCATTCTATAGTTCTGTGAATCTTTGGGCTCTAGGATAGGATTCTCTTTTAGTCAGCAAAATGTGCTAGAATGATTCTGTAGGATATATGTCTATATAGGGAAGCACAACATCTCTGCAACACAACTGTGCTTAGACCAACATTAAAACACTCTATGCATTCCATAATAGATATTGCATTTATATTTATTGAAGTATTTAGAAATATATATTTAAATATATTTAAATATATTTAGAAACACAGGCACCTATTCATGTATATACATATATGTATATATGTTTATTAAATAAATTGCTCTTTTAGCTGTCATGCATAATTAATAAATCAAAAGAAACTATATCATGCTAAAGGAATTTCTAATGTGGTGGACTATAAGGATAAGTGCTGTGTTGAAATTGAATCAAGACATTCAAATGAGAAGCAAAGCATTATTTCTTAACAGAACAATTTTTCTACCGAATCAAAATACAAAGACAAATACAATTTTTTACACATCTTCAGATCAAGGCCAAATGCCTTTTGAAAAGAGTGGCTTTACTTTAAGTGGTAGTTAATGGAGTTTGATACGAGCAAAATGCAATTTTCTGATACATATGAGGTCAGAGTAGATGATTTAATGCAATGTAATTCAAATGGAAAAAATAAAACCCATAAGACAGAGAGGTGATTTTGATAAAATCCACTATATATATGTCTATATATAATATCTCAAAAAGCTGCATACAGTTAACTATAACCACACACAACTACAACCACAGTCTGTTCTCACAGACCTAACTAATAAAAAAAACAAGGCACAGTCCTAAGAAATGACATGATATATTACTTAATTACCAGCACACCTGCTGTCATGGTTTAGCTGTTTAGTATTGTTAGAGCAGACTTAAAAAAGTGCCAGGCTCAGTTCAACAGGATTTTGTGACAAGAACTGTTCCCAAAAGGGTATTATGACTGCGGCAACAGTTTTTCCATGAAAAATTGTCCTAGTGGGAAGAAGTTAGCCATGTACTGTCATTTGGCTTCTGGGTTTTTAGTACCATAACCTAGCCTCGTTTTTAATTTTATCTGAGACTCAGAGCTGAATGGGAGAAAGTGTTTGTTAACCAATGGTCCCATTAATTGCAGGCTCCAGTGCCCACGCCTGCAGTAACATCCTTTCCAGATGATCACATTAAGCATTTTACACCTAGGTAACTGGCAAAGCTTAGTCAGATTGGACAAATCAGAGCTGTTTCTCTCACCTTTGGATCTGCTCTAAAGGAAAAGCAGTAAATCATGAGTGCTGCTAAGGTGCCCAGAGCTAATTTTATACATACCTCAACATATCATGATTTTTTCTTATATAGACTTGAATCCTGAATGAGGGAAAACTCAGACCACAGAAATACCCTACAGAATGCCCTCAGTCTCTTTCAGGAGGCACCCCTGGAGGTCATTTGCACAGAGATTCTGTTAAGGTGTCAGGGAGGAGTTTACAGAACAAAACTGAAATTTTTCATCTCCCTCCTCACATTTATCCAATAGTCGTGAGTTTAGATTAGAGATGGACTTGAAGTGCTTATCTGCCTGGGTGTAATCTCAGCCCAAATGACCCACTTCCTCTGACACCCAACCTAACCATCAGTGGGATGAATTCTTGGTCCCATCTCAGAGCTGCACTTCTGAATGTGCAGTACATATCCTGCATATTAACTTGCCCAGGAATGCACAAAACTCAGTAGTGTCTTGCAAAGGAAAGCTGGGCATGGGAAAGACCTGGCAAAAATCTTCAGGGCAATTGCTCTGGTCTCACCCAGGACAGAGTTCATTTTCTTTTTAGTAACTGGTACAGTTCTGTGTTTTGTATATAGTATGAGAATAATGTTGTTAATGCATTTATGTTTAAATTGTTTCTAAGGAGTGCTTACCCTAAGTAAGGATTTTTTCATTTCCCATGCTCTGCCAGTGAGAATGCACACAAGAAGCCATGAGGGAGCATTAACAAGACAGAACTGGCAGGAGGAATATTCCATACCACAGACCATCAAGCTCAGAATATAAAATGAGAGGAATTGGCAGGGAGGGGTGATCACTGCTCAAAGACAGGCTGGGCATGGCCAATGGGTGGTAAGCAGTTGGACTGGGCATCCATCCGCTGTTTCTTTTGTGTTTTATTCTTATCTTCTCCCTTTTCATTACAACTATTATTATTATTATTATTATTATTATATTTTATTTTATTATTATTATCATAATAATTATTGTTGTTGTATTTTATTTTGTTTCAATTATTAAACTATTCTTAATCCACAAGATTTACTGTCTTTTTCTGATTCTCCTCCTCAGGGAGGGGTTGGGGAGGAGAGAGACCAAGTAGTTGTGTGGTGCTTAGTTGCTGCCTGGGGTTAGACCACAGCAGCAATGTTTCCTGAGAGACCTGTGTGTGACAGATCTCTCATTCCCACCTGAGTGCTCTCACCATTGGGTAAAAAAGTGAAAATTGTTTTCTATACTGTTTCACATCGAGTTACAGTCTTCTGGTTTCTTACAGAGCTCTTTTCAGTTTGGTTGGACTAATAAAAATAGTTTTGCATAAGAAAAGGGAACATAAAATTAATTTCTACTTTATAATGGTTAGCTGACAATCGAGAATGATAGTGAAAAAATCAAACCATATTACTTCAACATTTTAGTGTGAGTTCATTTTCTCTGTATCTTTGAAGTAAATTGAGTGGAGCAGATAATAATTTAAACAATCTTGAAAACTCAAACAACATTTTGGAATAGGATGAAGTGTTTAAAAATTAAGTTTTATAGATGGAGCTGTGGGAGAATGTAATACCTTATCAAGAAAATGTTAAAAATAAATCACATGAATATGTGTTGAAAAAATAATTCTTGGTTAAGACCTATTAGCAGATGGAAACATTTATTCAGCTGAAGACATTACACATTCATTCATGGAGACACAGATGCTACTCAGACTGATGGGATGTACATTACCCCTAAATTAATAAAAGTAGATTTAAACATTTCTTTTTTTACCTGTTTAAAAATGTGTTGTTGATTTTAAAATCATGACTCTCGTTGAGAGATTTGAAAAAAGTGACAAAAAACATTGCAGCTCTGCACTATGCCTCCTTTTGGATGGCAGATACAAAGCATGGAGGTGAGTGATCAAACTGAGACAGAGACAGCTGAAGTGGCTAATCTGTGACCACAGGTTGACAAAAAAAGCGGGGATTTTAACCTGTTCCTGCTGTGTAGCAAAGGGGATGGAACTGCCCATAAGCAGCTGTGAAGATACTTAAGGCTGCCAACTAATCACTCTTTTGCCTTATGGGGGAAGGAGAAGGAGAAGGAAGGAGAAGCTTCTCTTCTTTGGCCAAAAACCTGTGGTCCCAATTAATTAATGTCTAGGCTTACATTCAGAACACCTCAACACAAAGCAAACCACTAACCAAAAATTAATTTAGCTACGACCCAGGTTTAATACTCCTCCAATTATTTAACCTCTGAAGACATTAATGTATCTAATAATAATTTCCAGCCTAACAATGGGCATCAATGAAGAGCAGTGTTTGTCTTTATGAGGATGCTTTGATTGCATCTTTGTTTTCTTTATGTGAAACAAGAGCACTGAGTATCACTTATTCTGCTGGCACAATTGCAGTTAACTGAAACCCATTATAGAATTGCAAGTCATTATGTTTAACTTCATTCTGAAAATAGATGGAGCATTTTGAATTGTATGTGTAGAATAATTCTCCTCATACATCTCAGGAATATAGGAAATCTATATAATTCATTATTTCTGACTTTTCCTTTTATTATATAAATCCATGTATTTTCTTATTAAGATAAAGTTTATACTACCTTTGGAATATCAGAGAGTGAAAAGGTAAAGAAAGCCCTTAAAGATAAATGCATCATTAAGACAAAACCAAACAGAAATCCCTTTGGTTGTGGATAGATGCCATGAGCTTGCTATGATGACTATTTCTTGGAAGATTGCAATATCCACAAGACTGTATATATAATATTATAGGATCTAGAGACATTTAGTAATCTCTTTTTTAATCACTATGTCCAAAAAAAATTAGTCAATGGGAATACCGTTTATACTGTTTTAGGTATTGACATCAAGGAGGGCTAATGTATTCACAATGCAGTGTGCTTTCACAGTATGGAGGACACTTTTTCTCTGAGAGAAAATACAAATTTAATTATCCTGTAACTGGACAGTTGCATTTTGTCTCACTTGGCTTAATAGATAAGGGCAAGGAAAACTATGCCTTCACAGTACTCAAGAAATGAAAAACAATTTGAGGATCCTGAAGAGGTATCCGCACCTGTTCTCAAAAGGTACTTCTGCAGCTTGAAGCACAAGAAAATTTGGTAAACAGAGATCCGAGCAAGTTTCACACAAGCTGTCTTGCATGCAGAAGCAGCTCAGCCATGTGCATGCAGCCTGCTGTAACTTCTGAGCAAAGCTTTCAGCTGCTCACTGCTGCTCTGGGCCGCTGGCTTTACACATCAGCATAACGTGCTACTGACCTCAGCCATGTGCGTCAGCAGTCATGGAGCAGCCTACTCTGTGTGCATCCATGGTGTCAACACAAGCTTCATTTCCTGAAGGACATCACCAAATGGAAAATCTGGTGTGTTTGGAAGGCTTGCCTTTTGGGGAGTGCTGATTGAAAACTATGATAGACTATTTTCTCCATGAATAAGCAATATAATTGTCTGTATGACATAAAAAACATTCCTGGATTAAGAATGAATATGCAAAATAGTCAGGAGTAAAATTAGGTTAAAAGTTAGGACAATATTTCTGACTATCAGAGCACTGGCAATCAGAAGCCATCTCTCTGCAGTGATGGGTAACAGTAATTACCAGCTTCTCTCTTCTGTCTTTTACTGGACTGTACAGAAGTGGATGCTCTGATGGAGGCTACTTCCCAGAGATTCTAGCATTTGCTATTTTTAAGGCAGAATGAGAGGCAAATGGGAAAAAACATTTATCTGAGCTTTTTTTCCCTTCTCTATGAAGCTAGTTATAAATAGGGTGCACTTATTTCTTTTGTGGGTAGGTGTAATCTGCCAGAAAAGGAGAGAAACTGCCCAGGCAGGCATCAGACTCAGCTAGGTGTCAGTGTGGGACAGCGGGTGCAACAACAGCTGGAAAGCAAACTTCTTTCTTTGAATCACAGAAGATTAACACAGACATGGCATGTAATACAGATGTTGTTCCCATGTAGCAGAATCACTTCAGTTCTGCTCTACACAAACTCCCCTCAAAACTTCCCAACCATTTGTGTTTCACCCTGAAATCAGACTGCAACAAAACCTCATCAACCTTATAGCCTTTAAAACAGAGGTAAAACACGGGCAAAAAGCCTCTGGAATCTTAGGTGCATTCTATCTTCTGTCAGGGACAGCATGAAATATCCAAAGCAGCTCAAAATTTGAGAAATTTCTTGGCATGGGAACATGGAAAGAGCAACGGAATTCTTAGCTACAATATTTTCTCACTTTAGCTCTTTGTAGTACTATTTCTTAAAGTATTTAGAAAAATGCCTACACTTAGATTGAGGTAGCCATCACAGCAGCAGGTCTGTATGAACCAAAACTTCCCTGACTGTATGAACACATAATATTCTCTTATTTTCATTAACTGCTTCAGTCCATCGTGCTGTGAAAATAACAAACAGAATAAAATAGATTTAGTAAAAAAATGGAAAAAGCCTGAAAAAATCACAGAAGCAAGATTTGTAATAAAAATCCATTCTACTAAATTCTGGATAGTCTATTGATACCTTAAATTGTGAGACAATGCTGGTGAGAAGTTACGGTTTTGAGATATTTATCAAACTACTGCAAATTACTGTACTTTAAGAGCAGTTCAGTAGGAACAGAAAAGATACACCTTAGACAGGTTTGAGAGATTATCTTCTCTGAGGTGGTTGCTCCCAAGCTTGATTTTATAAAAGACAGAATATATGTCATGCAGTAAATATGAGTGTGGTTTCATACTGCAAGTATAATATCTGTAGATGGAGAAGGAGAAAGAAACAGAAGCTCTCTCAGGAACCAGCTGGGCCAGTGGAATGTAGGTGCTATGGTCTCCTAGTAAGCAGTCTGCTGAGTGGATTAAATATAGATATAATAAAAGTAACGTTTAGATTCTGCTTCAACGCATTCCTGGGTAAGGAACTTTTTACTTCACACAGGCTCACTGCTACCATAGCATAAATTTTAGACTGCTGTTTTAAAAGGTCCTGCTTTTCATAAGCATTTTAGTGATTGTGTGCAGGATTGGGTTCTTCCAAGCATATATAAATATTTACAGAAAAGTGTCTTTATCTCACAAAAAAAAAAAGTTTAGATGATTGATTTTTCAAATAAATAGACTTATTTTAATCACATCTGGATATATTTGCAAAATCAGGAATTAAAAATACATCTGCTGAGAATCACTTTCTGAATTTCTTGGCAGTCATTCACTGTTAAAATATTTTCTTTACATAGAATTTAGTAATGTTACTCTTTATAGCCCACCATTTCACTGGCAGTTTTTTCCAGACAGGCTTCCTGCTAGCAGAGGAGGAGGAGGACTAGGTAAAAGCTAACTGTAGAACATTCAATGACTATTTTATTGTGACTGTGCTCAGCAACAGGCTTAATGCAGGAAATTTGAATCAACTTCATCATAGGGAAATTTAAGCAATTTAATATAAGGTAATTATTAATAACTCAGAACTTGGGAGTTTCTCATACATGTCCACATTATCATATAAAATATCTCCACCAAACTTTTAATTTACCTTCAATTTTATTCAGAAGCAACAAAAGCAATTCCCCATTTGTTTCCACTTTGTGGTTTGAAAAGTGATTTCAGCTGTGATGTTCTGTCTGGTTGCTTATGATATGCTATTCCACATTTAAGTCCCTTTGAGGAGACATTGATTTAATAATTAAAAATCACAATTTTTACTACATTATGATAATCTTTATCTAGAAAACCTGATTTGTAATGTGTCTTTGAATGGAGAAAAATGTCTTGTGCTGGATTCAGACTGAAGATTGAGATTTTGCAAGTATGCATATAAATGAATAATTATTGTAGAATAGTCTTTTCCCATTAGATATTTGAACTGTTGGATGCAAAGCAAGACA